GAGGACAGAATAACTGTTACTTCCTATCTGATAGTTCCTCCTGTTGTAAGTACCATTAAAACGCTACATGCTTCAGGAAGTCCGCTGTGTAAGTCTGTTTTTATAATGGCCGCTTCTAAAATGTCAAGCGTGCTGCTGATGTGCTGGATTACTCTCTTTGTGACGACAGGTAATGTGCATGACAACAGCCTCTAATGTAATTTCCTATTATTTTTGAGTGCTTTGATCTGAATTATTAGATATGAGAAGTGCTATAAATATAACAATCATTAAAACAGTAGAGCTGTGGAACAGGGGCGGTTCTAGGGTCAGAGGATATCATGGACGCAGGTCAAAAGTATCCATATATCATAATATGCTGGTGGTCATTGTACAGCCAGGGCTTCATTATAAACATGTATGACCACTGCTAACACGGCTGGGGTTCTTATTAAATAAAATGGTAGCGCTTTACAATACGCTTCCTTACTAACTTAGCAGTAACTCATTTACTACTCAAGTACAAATCATGTACAATTATAGTAGCTACTTGAGGTAAAAGGTGTTATAATTCATTAATGATGAACAGACATGAATTCAGTATGCTACTTTATTTGTTCATTCATAGTTATATAAAATTAACATATATAGTAACAAACATAGTAACTGCTTGAAATAATTCATCTGTCATGATTCATTAATGATGATTTTTTTTGTGTGTTATTCATTATTTGTTCTCAGTAATTCGCAAAGGTTTATTTATAGATTGATAAATGTAGTAATTAATACAGCAGCAGATCCCATTATTAACATAATAAGGACCACCCATCCATCCTATTCAGGGTTATGCGGGGTCCTCAGCATGTTATTGGACTGTGTAGAGTATCCAGAGGAAACCCCACAATGACACGGTGAGAATAGCAAACTCCACACACAGGGAGCCATGGCAGAGACTCAAACCCTGGGCCAAGGAGTGTGAGGCAGTGGTGCTACCCACCCCATATAAAAATGAGCCAACAGGAAATGATTAATTAATAAGTACGGTAAAATCCCATTATAGTGGACTCACTTATAATGGAATATCGTCTATAACAGACGAGGTCCGCTGGTCCCGGCCGTGCACAAATGTTTTTCATACCAGCATGGAAAGATCAACATGTATGCTGTGCCTTTTCTTGCCAAATTTGATCCCATGATTCGGCCAGTGCATGCTTCCTTACAGCAAATTTAAATCCATAACTGTGAAATCAAGAATGAATTACTATCATTACTATAATGAATGGCATTTCAAAAACTAAACCATTATTTAAGGATGAGGAGGTATAATTTTCTATATATCTGTATATGATAGTATGTTTTTGCTTGTTAAATTCCTGTGATTTTTCTTTACATTTTTTTTAAAAACATGCATATATCAGCTACCTGCTAACGGTACATCAGTTTTGCCTTGAATGGCAGCATCCGATATGTGTCACATCCAGCCCCATTCTGCATGTCCAATCCTTGTGTGTCCCTCAGGCGTGTTCCCGCCCTCTTGCTAACCACCCACAGCTGCCTTGCATTTGCCCCTCTGTATATTAGCACCTCCTAGTCCTGCGCTCCCTATGCGGTCATTCTTACTTGTCAGCATGTGTGAACCTGCCCTATGTGCTGTAATAAACACTCCTACGTGGGATTGTTTGGAATACAGCCTGATTTGGGTCGTGATTCGTCAAAACGTCGTGACAATATGTTATTACAATTTTAAAGAAAGAAGACAGTGTATCTACTTAAAACACTGGCAAAAAGATGGTTCACACAGCTTCCATAGTAACATGAATCCATGCAAAGAAGATAAGCTTAATCATAGTATCACAGGTAGGTCCTAGTAAATGTAATGAACATGACTAATGAGAAGCATTAGGTGAAAGTAGCCAATGGCATTAATTCTTTGTTTGTCTGAGTCTCTTCATTTGGAACCCTCTTTTTGTACAGTGTGCCCCCCTGGACGAGCCAAGCCGGCGTGTTCAGCAATTTTATACATTTAAAAGACATTCACCTTCTGTACCTGCTTGTCCTGTGCTGGATCACAGGCACCCTATCTCAGAAGCTATGGGCACCAGAACCCAGGGCAGGGTGCTGACCCACCACAGGGCCCACACACCATTCACACCTACAGATGGTTTGGCAACAATGGATGGATGGATGGATGGATGGATGGATGAATAGATAGATAGATAGATAGATAGATAAAATGTAAATGTGCAAATTGTCCATATTTGATAGTGCAGACATGTCACTGTTTATCCGGAACATAGAATCGACAGACATCCATACTGCCGCAATAGCTGAAAAACTTTGTTTGCTTTACATGTGAGAAACTTAATTAAAAATTAAAATAAATTAATGTACGCCCTAGATGTTCCTATTTGCAAAAAAATGTGATATCTAGGTTGCCTCTGTAGGTCAACAAAACATTTGTTGAAATAGTTGAATAATCAGGGAGGAAGACTATTTCACCATACACAGAGTACAAGGGTGGGCGGGGGGGGGTAGGTGCCCTTTTTAATATTTTGGCCTGCCCTTCAAACAGCCTGAGTCTGTACTCATGTGAATGTTAATTTGACACATACCACCGACCTACAGAACAAGCACATCCCCTCATGGCAACATAAATCTGATGTGATAATGTGCCAACTATCTCACAAACCTATGTCACACACGGACATCTTACTAATTCTGCAAACTGGCAACACCAGACTAGTAGTGAAGCTAATCTGATGAATGACCATAACTGTTTGGTTACTGGTGTAGATAATATATAATTATTTGTGATTATGAATTTAAGTTTAGGCAATAAAAGTAGTATAAATAAAATGATGCTCAAAAGTGATGGCCTGCGAATTAATTATCGATTGGTGCTTTAGTGCTTTTGAAAGGGATTTTTAAGTGTTAAACACCCCCACCATCAAAACCGGCCAATACAACCCCCCCAAACCCCCAATAATTTACGCCCAGGGTGAAGGCCTCAACCCCCCCAATGTTACTCCCCTGGGTCACCCAGAAACGTAATATTTCATCTAAACAAGCCAAAAATAGAACACATCAAGCAGTTTTTTATATTTAATACAAACAACTGGATATTAAATTCAATTGTCTTTCAGTCTGCTGCCATCTACTGCCAATATGACAGAATGCCACTCCGCCATCTTTCTTATGTTACTGACACCAGAGGACAAAGTACAAAATTAAATGTTTTTTCTAGTCTTTTTGTGCCTTTTTTTCTTAAAGATTGCAACTCAAAGCATCATGTGGGTCTAATAATCACAGCTGCCTCTTATTTGATCCTCATTAGTCCATGTATATCAGTGCCTGCTTGTCTTGTGCTCCCCAGTCCAGTCAATGTTGTCATTCATGTTGTTTCCTGTGCCATTCCCTGGGTCAGTTCTCCCATATGTCAGTACAATCCTAGCCCCCCCTTTGGTGCTGTCAGTTCCTTGGTGGTACCCCTTGTGGTCCATTTGTTTACTACTTGAGTTTGCTTACGGTGAAAAAAAAGCCTTGATTTTGTTAACTTTCCGGCTGCCTTTGAGCAAAAATTGGCAAAAATGAAATGGTAAAAAATTCTAGTTTTCTCAAGAAAGATACCACAGACCCTCCTGCA